GCCTCTGGCCTGTACCCCAGTTCTGTATGCACAAATAAATAAATCTTTAAAAAAAAATTAAAAAATAAAAAAAACTATAACAATGATAATCTATGAGATGCTGTGTAATTTTATTCTAGAATTTATTTTATTTCAAAATAAGGGGATGGGTAAACTTTGTTTTATTGAAAGTTATTGTTTTTAATTAAAGTAATTAAGTATTGAGTATTTGGTTTTCTGTTTGGGGATTTTTTATGGAATGTTTTTCTTTTGATGACTCAGAGATGGTATTATATTTCATTAGTAAAACAATTTAGCAAACACCACAAGCTGGGATAAGGCAGACACCTGTTCTATGCTACAAACTAGCATGCAGAATTACTAATTCTCATACTTGGGTCTTTCCACTTTGAGCACTGTTTCCTGCTCCATTTCCAACAATACTTGCTGATAAAAGAATACACTGTGTCCAGGTTGTTTTCACACATTATTTCATTTTAATCATAGCAGGAAGAGCAAGGGTATTTGCCTATTATTAAAGCAACGCAAAAGGTACTTGGAAACATTTATCATTGGAGATAGTGTATAAGGGACAGATGAAATCTTGACTTTAAACTAAAAACACCATGGAGGGGGGTTTCTTCATGTTCTGTTTTTAAAGGCTTGCTTGCAAAGTGAGATCACATGTGAATAGCAACATATTTTATCTGTTTATTTAGTTACTGTATATTCTGTATATTAGTAACACCCTCTGTTATTTATCTTCCTCTTCTTCACTGATTTCACTTAGCATTATCCTTCCAAGCTTCATCTATGTTGCTGCAAATGGCATGAGTCTGTCTTCTTTGATCACTGGGCAGTATTCCATTGTGTGTGTGTATCACATCTTCTTGATGCACTCACCTGTTCTGGAGCATTTAGGTCATTTCCTTAGTTTAACTATAGAAAATAGTGCTGCAATTAAGATGGCTTCAAAACACTATTTCAAAATAGTGTTTTTGAAATTTTTGGATCGATACCTAGGAGTAGTTACTGGGTTGATCCATGCCCTGTGTTTTGGGACACCTCCATACTGTTTGTCATAAAAGTGACATCCGTTCACTAACACATTACTTTAATAATCAGAAATAAAGAATAATCACCAAAAAACAGAACTTGGAACTAAATTAATTTCCCCCTACATTAGAGTTTCTTATATATTTGTTATCCAATAATCCTCACATCTTATAATTATCCACTTCATTTTCACTGTTATAAAGGATCAATGCAAGTTTCTATTTGTTCAAAGATATTAAAGTTTTGTATTCTTGCACTCCCACTCCAAATTTCCAAAACATTAGAGAGTATGTATTTTTTTATAGATTTTTTTAAGTTGCTATATTTCTTTATCACTATGGAAGTAAATGGATAGAATTTTATGCAAATATGCAACAATTTACCATTCATGTCACCTTTTATACATATTTCATTCAAAAATGTAACTTAAAGATCTGGTTGAAGTATTTCAATTAAAACAGTTATCAAGATTATGAGGACAGGTTCACATGTATACATACATGTCAAGTTTGGTAAGTCATATAATTTAATTCTGTACAGTTTCTATGTCAAATGTAGTGCCTCAGTAAAGCTGCTAAATAAACATAAGAAAAGTCACCTACTATATATGCTTGAGTATGACTTAAAAGCCAAAACCACACAAACACATCCACACACAAGATAAAAAAAGAGCCACTCTTAAAATGCATCAGCAAGTTTATTTACAAATGCAGTTCAACAGAAAGATTCTCTAGTTTCTGAAAAAAAAAAAAAAAACAACAAAAAACAAAAACATGTGTAATACAAACTCTGGTGATTTTTCATTAATGTAAAGTAGCAGTTTTCCATTGGGAATTGCTCAGAAACAATTCTGGTAAAGATATATACCTCCCCTCATCAAGCAAGTAAAATGCTACATAAGCTAAATTTTCTTAGAAATCATAGTATTACATAGATAGAAGGAAACAGAAAACAAATTTATGGATAAATTTTAGGGAACTCGCCCACATGGTTCTGCATTAATTTAGCATACATTACAATAAACAAAGCAAATGCAATTACATATTTATATTATCTAAAAAACAATAAAATAACCTTCCTCAAAACACCACTAGGAAGCCAAACTAGATTACCAGCCTCAGAAATATCTTAAAGTATTTATTTTTTCCCTTGTGCTCAATCCTGAAAGTAAATACTGCACTTTTTTTCCCCACACACATAATTACCTTCTCATAAATAAACAACAAAAATACAAGTTCTACCAAAACTAACACTCTGATGTCATCTAAAGTAGCCAAAAAAAAAAAAAAAAAAAAAAGGTGTTATCCTTTTTTTGAAAAGCGAGCCCAAAGACACACAACAAATATTTATAGATCTACATCAGCAGCAACCACCTCCTCTTCTATCTGCAACAGGGCTTTGGTTTGGGCGCTTACATCACATGGCGGTTGGCCGTCCAGCTGATTAGCAAGGAGAAAAGAAAGAGAAGCGCTTAGATTCAGGAACACTTGAACATTGCCATCTGTACCACATGGCAGTCATCACTCAGAAAATGGCCCCGGGAGGTGGAAAGAACAACCTTGTCATTCAGGACAAAGGGAGGCAAAACACAGCCTCGGGGCTCTTGAGTTCTTTATTTGCAAGAATGGAATCAAAATGAACTGCTGATATGGACACAAGAAGCCATCCACTCTATTACTGGTCTTGGAGGAGGGAAGGTGTGGTCAATTTTTCCTCCACGCTTCCAACAATCAATTTTATTTGGCTTTGGAACTTGATTGGAACTTGATTAGAGAGAGAAAAGCGCGTGCACACACACACACTCCCCGTGATGTGCCCAGCCATGACGCTCTCCCACCTCGCGGCAGCACGGGGCAGCACCCGGGAAGAGCTGCGCCGCTGTGGTTGGTAAGCTCAGAACCCGAGACAGATGAAATAGAGTTAGGAGGCTCGAGCCATTCCAAAGCACTCTTCACGTAAAGGGCCAAATAAATACCTCAGAGTTCAAAAGCAAATGGTTTTTCTGATACCACTTGTAACACCCTTTCACAATAAGGAAGAAACACATGTTACCAGGGTCAAGGTTCAAGATATAAACAGCAATCATGGTTGTTTTTATGCAGCTATGAACATATATGCAATCTCATACTATCTTATGCTTTACAACACACTTAGGCAAAAACATGCTTAGACATAAAGTAGCATGGGGAGTTTTTGAAAAATTCAACTTTTCTAAGGACAAAAATCCACCACCATCGAATCAGAATTAATGCTCTCCCTTTTAAAACTGCTGTCTCTACTGATCTATGATTATATAGTAACTTAAAGCATAAACTGCGTGTTTAGCCATCCTGTTGAAAGCTGATCCCATTTTCAATCATATAATAAAGCCGATTGTTAAATAATAGCAGTCACATTGTGATGGGGGACCAGTCCTTAGCATGACAATGTATGCAGAAGGCTCACTTTAACTGTATCCTCAAATCACTAAGGGTTTCTCCAGACTGAGCAGATGGCGCCGGATGCAGGCATCTGCCCCTCTCCCATTCCTCAGCCCCGCAGCCTGCCCTTCGGCCGGATTTCTGACCAGCGACTCCTCGGCATACTCTCTAGAAGGGAGCAGACTACAACTCCAAAAACTTGGCCATTTTAAGGCAGGGAGGTGGAAGGGGTGACAGGGACAGGATCAGGGAAATGCATGGGAACCCGGGTTCTCCTTAAAAGACAGGAAATTTTCTCCCTAATTTGCTCTCTTACATTTGAATCTGAGATAGCAGTCATTGCAGTACAGTTGGTTGTTTCGGATTCTGACTTCTGCTCCTGAGGAAGACCCTCCGAGGTCACACCCACAGGCAACACACTGCGGTGGGGGAAACAAAAGGACACATCAGCAATTCAAGAACATTTAGGGCGGACCCAGAAAAAATAAAAAAATTTAAAAAATGAGCAGAATGCAGCTTCTAAGCTTAGATGTATGTCAGCGAAGGGAAAAAAAAAAAAAAAGACGCCAAAAGATCATTAGTAAATTAAAATCAAGCCTGCCAGATGAGACATTAAAGTATTCATAAAGCCAATTTTGAGAGCCAAGAGGATCATTCTAAATATACTGAAGAGTAGAAATGACTCACTAATGGACTCAAAGGGATTTAGTCTTCATGTCTCAGAGAGAAGTATGAAAGGAGAAGCCAGGGAAAGACGTGGCCAAGTGAAGTGAAGACGGGGCTTCTGAAACCCCATCTGGGTGGGCCCCACCCCAGTCCCCACCGCACTAACTGGCCAAGTGTTCTGGGGCACTTTCACATCAAGGCTGGGTATTTGGCTCCCTGTGCCTGACACTAAGCATTCTGACTCATTCTGCTCTGCCCAGGAGCACCCCAAGCCAGCAATAGACAAGCTTAACTAGCTTGGTCTGTGGGACTCCAGGATCCATAAAGGGAATCCCCTGGCCCAATGTGAGTTCAAGAATCCAACAGATGTGTCTCTACAGACAGACAATGCGAAATGTGCTACCACAGTCTTAGTTCTTTTCAAGTGCAAGGACCCATCAGGTGAGAACAGACTGTACAATAGGCTACGTAAAAATATTTACATACGCATGTGTAAAAAAATACATATATGTTTTTTCCCTATGCAAAGCAGACATTTAGGCACTGCTGTCACCACGGTCCCCACGCTGTTGCTGACACTGGAAAATTTAAGTTTGTCTAAGGTGACATGTTGGAGAAAGCCTTTCTACACTGTAGAACTTTACTTAGAAGAGCTCAACAGGTTGGCAATAGGAAGTGCATCATGTTTCCAGATTTAATTTTTGAAATTCGGTTCAAGATTTGACAACGAGGCGGTAGCAGGCAATTTGCAGCTCAATACGCAGCAGAGACACGTGGGTAGCGCCTAGCTTGTTAGCAGCACATCCACACCCAGCGATCCATGAAGCCATGCGCTCCTCCCAGCAAAGCTTTGCGGGCTGCAGGTTGTTTGTCTGTCTCACCTTAAAGCAATGCAAATGATAACAAAGACCCAGGGACTCGATGATCATGGCGGCTCCTTTGCCCAGAATGTTATTGCAGTAGGAGCACACGCGCTTCCCACTGACTGACCTAGACGCGGAACAAGAACGGAACGGGCTTTCATCTGCACTCAGGTTATGATGGAGTCGCACACTGCTTTTACCATTAGCAATGTTTCAAGAAAGTCGATACATGCACGGGAGAAAATTTTCACCAGCAACCCGAGTGTGCTTGGTTATCTTGTCCTTGTGTCAGGGTATCACTACTTCTGAAACCCCTGGCATCTATTCACGCCTGCGAACAACGCCCTCCGACCATTCTGTGCTTACTGCACCATCTCCTCAGAGGTCTCCAGGGCTCAGCAGTCTTCTCCCTCTTCTAAACCACCCTCCACCTCCCTGCCAGTGAACCCTAAAAGTACAGCTATCATGACTCTTGCTTCTCCGAGCAGAGGGAACTTGCGGCGCCTTTTTGCAAGGACTGCACTGCTCCACACCCATCTGGACCTCCTCTTCCGTTCTCCTTCACCCAGCAATCTGGCTAAACAGAAGTGGCAGTGCCTTGGTGACTGGGCTGGCTCACAGGACTGCCTCGGGGCAGAATTAAAAGACCACTGGCTGACATCTTTCAGATAAATGAAGAGGCTTTTCCCACTTTCCTTTAGGTAGAAGTCTTCTCTCTGGTGAAAGGCAAAGGTACTGCTCACACCTCTGCATCCCACAGCACTAAACTAGCACAACACTTTGGAGTTGCCGGAAAGTGCAGAGCAGGTGATGGCTCATGTTCAAGGCCACCTCCTAGATGGAGACCTTTTCAGGGCAGAAAAGCCCACAGGTGTCTACCCTCATCAGGTACATAGGTATCTCTTCCTCTGTCTCTCTATCTCCCAAGGCACAGACTTTATTTCTCTCCCAAAGCCACCACAAATCCTCACCCCCTACTTTAAAAAAAATATTTATGCATATGGAACTGGGGTATAGACCAGAGGTGAGGGGTGGTGAGAGGATTCACCAGAGACAGAGTGGGGAGCACAACAGACAGATCTACCAAAACACACTGCTGAGGGGAGCAGTGGGAGAGACAGGAGAAGTCTGCTGTGCCACGTGAGTCACCTCCCTGGCTGGGGATAGAACTCGTGCCCAAGCTGCTGTGGTTAGGTTTGTAGTGCTATGCTTTAACCTCTTGCACCATCAGGGAGGGCCCCTTTACCCACTACTCTTAATTGAAACTCCCTGACTCACATTTTATAATGTAAAAACAGTATTTTAGATTCATGTAAAATGAGTTTTCGTAACAAAAACCTTTATTTGATAGCTCAAGTACTCCAACTTAATCAAGGTCACTTTTCAGAGCTTGCAGTGAGAAGTAAATGGCTGTAGAAATTTGGGTGACACCCAAATATTGCTGCTGTGGTTATGATGAGTGAAACATCACCAATCTGTGGAAAAGCCTCGAAAACCTAAAGCCCAACACTTGTAGGTAACTGAGTTTCATTCCCTGCCAAAAGGAAGACTGGAATGAAGACCATCATAATAATCCTTAGTTCCCACAGCATACGACCTATAGAACTCAGTTGGCACAGTCTGAACGAAATGCTGGCAAGCCAGTGAGGGGCATTCTTTTTTTTTTTTTTTTTTTTGAAAATTCAAATCCAAAAAGCAATGTCTCACTACTTTATTTTTATCTAGCTTGTTAAAAGTTCCACAGACTATGGAATGTTTTCCCCTATACACTCAGTTCCTATAAGATGGGCTTGGGATACAGTTTCATTAAAACACTCAAACATTTTCAATACTGCTATTGCTCAGGCATTCCAGCTACATTCAGGAGCTCCTGTATGTTTTCATGACTCCACACCAAGACCCACGGCAGGGACTTCTGCATCTAAGACACTGACCAGAAGCACAAGCAAACAAAACAGAAACGATGAGGCAGACATTTGAAAGGTCTCCATGGCCTCACAAGACGTCCATAAATGGCTTAAGGGTAGCAAGGAAGGGTGTGAAAAAGCCCTCTTAACTGAGCTGATTAAAAAAAACAAACATTGAATTGGAGACATTCAAGAAAGCTTTTTCTTTTTCACTGGAGAGGCTGGACCAGATTTGGGGGTAATTTTAATAGAAAAATACCCCTAAAACCAAAAAGAAAAAGAGGAAGCCTTACCTGTTCCGCAGCTGGGAGCCAGGCTGTGCAGATGTGGGGGAATGGCTGCGTGGTGTGGGGGAAGGGGCAGAGGAGGTCTTGACAGAGCCCGCTGAAAAAGGGGGGACACTGGAGGGCGGGTTGCGCATGTAGGCACGGTTTGAGGTGGACACCTGAGCAGGCGGGCGGCTGAAGTCTTGAACAGAGGAGGAAGCGTAGATGGCAGTCGGCTGGTTGAGCCAAGCAGATTGCCTCCAAGAACTGGACTTGGGGGAGTCCAGGTTATCTAGAGATTCACCTCTGCAACACAGGAAAGAACAACAGAATACATTCAGCTTGTAATCTACTAAGTGGTCATTAAATGTCCACTTGATAAGCAGCGGTTCATCAAACAAGTCAGGTTACATAAAAAATTACCTTTCACAAGCAAAACTGTCCCCTTAGAAGTATGGTGCTGTTTCACACTTGATAAACCTTTTAAATAGTTAATACTTTAGTGCTTCAGCAAAAGAATAAATGCCCAATAAGGTGGAATGAACACACTGAGAAATATTTTGTAAATAAAATACACATCCAAAGGCACACATTCTCCCCTTAAATCTTCAACAGATAAATCAAATCTTAAAAAGTATTTTTCTCAAATCCAACCAGAAATAAATTTTAAGTACTTACATATGCCAAATGTCAAATAAACACTGTCACAAAAATATTAATTCTGTTTAATCTTCACAACACTGTACATGATTTTTTTTTAATCTCAAAAAAATAAACTTATTCATTGTAAAGGAGCTCGTCAGTGGTGGCACAAGCTTTAAAACCAAGGTTTTCCACTCCAAGCTTCCAGGCCATCCATGCCCGCTGCTCAGCCCAGAAAGCTGCACAGTTTAGAATACACAGGAATGTCCACCAGCCACTTTCCTTAACATGTATAAACTCTTAAAAGAAAATTTAGCTCACAAACTGATATAAGTACAAACTTGGAGAAATCCCTCTTAAGTGAAGACTTAAACTTCGATTAATCTGATCTACAAAAATTCACTCCAAATTATGAAGGCTTCTTCCACTTGATCCATTTGTTGTTATTGCTTTTAAAACCTTCTCACTTATCCCAAGTATGTAATGTGTATTTTTTCTTTTCATTTTATGAAATAGTACATCATGATGAAAAAGACTCAGTAGAAAAGGGTATCTCAGGGAGGAATAAAATTCCCTTTCCAACCTCACTTACCACAACTTACCTGCCCTAAACCGCAGAGGTGATCACTATGCATAATATACTGTCTAGGCTTTTTCTCAGAGACGCAAGCACATATTCACATAAAGATGCACTTTAACCCGTGTAATCATAGCCACGTCTGCATGCATAGCTATGCGTTTTTAAACAGATGCTTCTACAGCATCATTCTTCACTAGCTTGCTTATTCCACTCTTTGCATGTCAGTTCAGGCGACACCTTGGTGGTCCTCAGTGACTCACATGCCTGGTGTCCATCCCCTTACGTAGTCCCCGCCCCATGGTTTTGGGCCTCCCATGTGACAACCTGTGCCAAGGAGACATCAGCAAACATGTGCACAGTGATGTCTCCTAAGCTCTTGCCTGTTAGGACCACTCTTCTTACAAGGTTCCTCTTTACAGCCAGGAGGCAGCAAATCAAGTCATTCTGTGAGCAGCCCCATGAAAAGACCAGCACTCCCAGTCAACGGCTCTGGCTAAGCCCCCAGAGTATCTACCTCAGGGATCAGCAGCACAAGCCACTGCCAGGGGATGCATGCCTCACGAGTGAAAGATATTTTACATGGTCAAGAATCATTTAAAAACAATAAAGCCAGCAAAGAATATGTGACAGAGACCCAAGAGGCCATAGTGTCCAAATGATTTACTGTCTGGTCATTTATGCAAGAAAAAAAATTTTTTTTTCCTGCTCTAAATGATTATAGTTGCCTCAGCCAACAACATGCAAAGACTGCCCCAGTCAACACTCAGGACTGTGAAAGTAATGAAATATTTTAACAGTAAGTTTTGAGGTGGTGCATTCTGTCTCTCATTCCCTAACAGTTTAAAGTTTGTATAGTTGTGTATCTTGTTGATGTCACAATTCATGAGCATTAAGTACATCTCATTAGGCATTTTTATTTTTTTTTCCTGTTGTTCCTATAATTTGCTGTTAATTTAATATTATAGTGTTAAAATGCATATCCAAGAATATAAAAAGTGAAATATCTCTCAAAACATATGTGCATGCTTCTCCAAATACATCCAGGAAGTAAAGTACTAGAAACGATTGAGCTCAGGCAGGACACACTGAAAAACTGTCCAGCCTACTGGAAACAAGAATTTCTATTTCCTTTTACAATTGTCAGTACTAGATTTAATCAATCATTTCACTTTCCCCAAATCACATAAGCAAGATACACCATTGTTTTAATAGTCTTGATCTATTACATTTAATGTCCTTTACTTCTTTTTCTATGAACTATCTGTTCACATTACTTTGTTTCCATAAATTTTATTTACTATCTGGTCACTTATGATGAGGGCTTAATAACTTATTTACAAAAGTTTTTTGTATACCGAGATAATTAGTCTGTCATCCCTAATTATTCCTCACTTGTTAACTGTAGAAATACTGATTCAGAATAACTTCAGTCTTCATTAACCCAAGATACAACTTATCAAATGGCCATCTTCTCACTTCTAATTTATAACTGTATTTATCTTATTAGAGTTATTAAAAATTAGGATTTCACACTTTGTGGACCCTTTTATCGTGTTCTCAATCTAACCATCTCCTCACTACAAATATAAAAAGATTACATTTAGTAAAGCTTTAGTAGTAGCCAAAGAAGCACTAAGGCAGAATAAGTGATTTAAGTGACTTCACAGTCCCACATCTGGCATTGCAACCTATTAGCCACATGGTTTATGAAGTGTCTTCCCTACTTGAGAAGTCACTTTCTTTGTCACTTCCCTGTTTGAGAGTCACTTTCTTTGAGTCATAAACAGAATGACTGCCCCACCTCAAAATATTTTCCCCAGATTGAGATGATGTCGACAAAGTAACCAGCATGTGTCTGGCATTTAACGGATGCTCCCGACATGGGCTGCATTACATCTTCCTCCCACTCTATCTGAGGTAGGGAAATTATGGCCGCTCTTCTATCCAAAGCAGATAATATGTCTAGAAATTGAATATTTGCTTTACTGCACAGAAGAAAAGTAATTCCAGAAACGTCTCGCACCTTCTCATAATTCCAGGCAGGCAAATAGGCTCTTTATTTACGACACTGGAGCTGCGCTGTCGGATCCAGCTGCTGTCAGTGTGAAGCGATGTCCTCTTCCTCATTTCTTGAAGGATTTGCTGTCTCTCCCATTCTGCGCCTGAGGAGAACTGCTCCCTCTTGGGACTCCTCTGTAATGAACCAGTATTCCCAGCTCGGTCTAAATACCTGTTGCTTCCTAAAGTAAAACACACACCAAAAAATTTAGCATTAGTCCTTTAAAAAAGAAAAAAAAACAAGATAGAAAATATATCCTCAGAAACAATGCAGAAAAAAAAAAAGTGACACAGTGAACATAAGCTGACTTTATCAACTCTCAGAGAAACTGTGGCATGAGAACACAAGAGCCTGCTACTCCTGGAAATCCCAACTGCACTCCCAGAAGCACATCACAGAAAACATTCAGGAAAACAACCAGCATTGATTTCAACTCATCTAGGAAAGTTTCTCTTTCTTTCTGAATTAAATCAACTGAGCACATTCCCATCAGATGCTCGCTGTGAAAACTGTGCAGGGAAAAGAGAGTTCTAGTCTCTCAAAGCGTGAGCATTCCACCCGGAAGAGATGAACATAATTGATGCTTCCCCAGCTGACACACCTCAGATCGTCACAGGTGAAAATCACAACTAAATTGCAAGAATCACAACATTTTAATTCTGAAATGACTGTAAAATGTAGTACTCTCCAAGTAACCCAGTGGCTACCAAGGAGTGTTAGAAGACTTGTCTAGGAAATGGACAGAACTATAATTTGAATATTGAATTTATGAATAATTAAATCTGACTTTATCTTGATACTTTGTCTCCAAAGTGTGTTAATGAATTTCAGATTTGGGTAATAGGAACATAGTTTTGAAGTTCCACCTTACTCTGGATTAGGAAATCTTAAGTAAGGATTTATTTTCTTTCTGTATCCAGTTTCATTGCTATTTTCTTCCTTTCAAAATTCAAGGTGTGTCTCTGCATAATTTATCTTTGTAAGCAATAAGCAAGGTTAACAAAGATTTCTTACACCATCTATGTTTGCTCTTCTGTGTATACACAGCTTATCAATTTGGTGAGACTTTAAATAAAGCATTTCTACTTTAAACGTGCCTTACTGGCATTTCATTCAAATAGGTAATAAATGTCATGACTGCTGTTCAGGGGCTTATCATTAATAATGGGAGAAAACCAGATTAATAACACAACCATCACCATGAACAAGACAATTCCAGAGGCTGCCATTAATAACAGGCCACATGTTTAAGTTCAGGAGAGAATATGATCAGTGCAGGCTGAAGATGCTTCATAGCAGAGTAAAATACTCTAGTTCTCATGTGTGTGACTAGGGTACACATTCTGGGGAGAAAAAAAACTCAGAAATTCAAATAGGGAAAGGTAAGACCAAAGAAAGCAGATCAGAAAGCACGTGATAAGTTGGGAACACAAAGAACAATTTGGTTATAGTTAAGATTTCCTCATGAGAAAAAAAAATAGCAAAATAGGCTAAAAGTTAAATTAGGACTGGCTATTACAAAGGCCTGTGTTTTAAGGGGGTGATTATAGAACCATAAAGCCTGGTAGTATCTGGAAATTCCACCAGTTTTAATCAGCGATTACAAACTAGCTGCCTCAGGTCCTTTGGGTTTACAGATAAGTTTGGCTCACAGAAAGGTTATATTTTTTAAATTCCTTTTAAAAATAACATCAAAATCCAGATTTTTTACCTTCTCTTTCACAACAAAGACAACTGACAGTCATAGGCTTGCATTTCAGTGCATGGTGGTGACAAGCTGGGGCTGAGGAGTCAGTCCCCTGAGAGAGTGGACCAAGCACCCACCGAGTTCACCCCAGACCTTATCCAGTCCTTCATGCACTTATGTAAGTGACCAGCACCCTCCTGATGCAAAGCCGAGTTAAAATGATGCTTATTGCTTGGGATTTTATTTTTCCCCTGAGTTATTTAATTTCAGTTGTGTGTATCAGAAATACACTTTCTACTAACAATATCCAATTTCAAATAGTTTTTGCCAAGTGAAAAATTACCAGTTTGGTTTTTTGACATCTGGTCATTTAAACGTAAAATTTCAAGTTTACATACAATTTTTAAGTCCCCTGGTAGTTTGCAGAACATTTTTCTGACCATATTTCTTTGGCTACATGATAAAATCTATTATATAAAACTGTATCAACATCACTTCACAAAATTCCCACATATTTCATTAGCTATTTAAAACCATCCTAACCTCCCAGGAATACCTCTATTAAAAAATAAAGCCAAAATAAACACAAAACAATCATTTTGTGTTTAACCGTGAATGCTAAAAGCACTCAGTAGTTTAATTATGTACTCTTAATGGGTCTGAAATATCTTGACCTTAAAAATACTGATCATAGCAAGTGATGGCATAAATAAGCAAGTATTAAAGAATTTTGAGGAAAATATTCATATTTACCATTTTTATTTGTGGAATAATCATCAAGCTCAGTAGTGGATCTGGATTTATTCCTAAAACACAGAACACAATATATTAATAGGTGGCTTTAAGAACATCTTTATGATGAACACCAAAAGGTTTTTAAAGCAGTTGATTTATTATTTTACATCTTCAGAGTGATTTTTATTTTAATACCAAAGAATATGTTTTATGTTGCACCAACTAGCAGAATATACTAGCACCTCTAAAGTGGAGGAAAAGTTACAAGATGGAAACAACTAAAAATCCATTTGAGTTCACATGATGATTAAGACAGTAATTACTGCCCAACGTGTACACATTCTCCTCCAGATAACCCTTTCCAGGCTGCTGAAAGCATCAGTCCTAGCTCACCTAACTCAGACTCTTCCATTTCCCTCATGCTGCCCAAGGGGCATAAAGTCAACCTTGAGGAGGTCACTCCAGTAACTAGGGTACTTCTCTGAAGCAGCAACTTACCAAGCGCTGGTCTAGCATTCAAAATGGTGTTGGAGGTACTGCAAAGGTGAGGTGCCTTCTGAAAATTCTGGTTTTGTTATGATGGACGTTAAGCTCATGTCTCCAGAAAGCCTCCAGGGCTATACCATGACTACATCACAATGGCCTCATGGTGGTATTTCACATTTTTAGGATTCCTAAAGTTTCCTTTCCCTACAATTGAATTATTTTCTCCAGGATAAAGAGATACATAAAGAAGCCTTATTTAAAACTATAGGTAAGTTGCTAGCTTGAAAAGGAGATACACTTTAATAATTCAGCAGTATTCATTATAAAGGCAGTCATCACTAGGTTTTCTTCTCCTGCCTTATCATGAGCCCACTGCTACCTGTATTTACCTTTTTTCTGTCTACTCTGAGCCCTGCTCAGTCATCCTTCCACCTCTAGATATGAGTCTTCCTTTATCTCTAAGTCAAGCTGCCTTATCTCTAAGGCAAACTTCCTGAAGAAGTTTCATCTCTGAAAACAAAAATTCATGGTCAAACAGTGGCTATTTATAGATGCACTCTGTTTAGAGTGCAAAACATTTGAAAATATATTTAAAGGCCCTCCCTGGTGGTGCAGTGGGTTAAAGCACATCACTGAGAAGCTAAAGCCACTTCCGCATGAGTTTGATTCCCGCCTGCCTCGGAGGTGACCACATGGCGTGGCAGACCTCTCCTGACCCACCCGCTGCTCCCCTCAGCAGTGTACTTCGTCGATCTGCCTATTCTGCCCCTCACTCTGTCTCTGGTGAAGCCTCTCACCACCCCTGAGCCTCTGGCCTGTACCCCAGTTCTGTATGAACAAATAACCTCTTTTAAAAGAAGGGGAAGGTAGATTAAATAAAAAAGTGAATTCAATTCAGCATTCAACCCCCCTTATATTGTAGCTCCTCCCACAAGGGAGAGTTTTTCTCTTTCCCACGAACTTGGGCTCATCTATAACTAAATTTAGGAAAGAGAATGTGGCACCAGCCATAATGGTCAGCTCAGAACTCAGAAGGTGAGGTGTCTTGCACACTTCCTTCTCTCTAGTTCATTTCTCCCTTGCCCATCGGCATGTAGCTAGGATGGCTTACTGGATGTTGAAAGATAAGTGGCATAGTTGTATTACTGCAGCTAACAGCAGCCAACTGCCCAAAACACAGCTGCCTAGTAAACTGGCAAATGCATTTAGTGAGCCCAAACAACCTAGAGAACTACCAAACTGAGCCCAGAGCACTTACCCCACAATCATGAATTAAGTCACTGAGGCCAGGGTAGTTATTTATACAGCAGAAGATAATCAATACAAAAACCAACCAGCGAAACTCCCATGTATCATGTAATAGACTAATCGCCAAACAACAATTAAGTGTCCTACACACCTGTCACTAGCAAGCAAACCTGAAGAGTCTTCCTCTCTCTTGGGTATATCATAGGAATCAACAGGCCTGAAAAGATGAACAGAGCTTATGGTCAAAATATTAGACGTTAAATACTTTCCTGAGTTTAAGAAATGTATATGAAAACAATGATACCCCACCCTCTTTGTGAGGCGGATCTCTGGGTTGAAAATTAAACATATAGAAGTGTTCAGATGAATTGCTACCACTGCTAAAGACACTTGTAATTCATCCACCCCACAAACGGACTGTGTGCCTCCTACATTCTGGCACTGTTCTAGAACTGGGCTGTGGGTGTCAGCAAAATAAATTTATTGCTGAAGAGAGGTAAACAAAATGTGTCAAATGTAGTACTTCCTAGAGGGGAAAGGCACACCAACAGACACGCTACTAAACACGTAGCATAAAGCAGAAAAGGGATATAGATCAGACAGGTGGAAGAGATGGGGGAGATGCATTTATTTTAGATGAGGTACCTGGGTAATGAAATCTGAGCAGAGATGTAAAGAAAATAAGTCAAACAGGTGAGAGTAAGACTTGTAGCAGACACTAGAAAATGCGGAAGCCCAGGAACCAAAATGTTGGGCATTTTCAAGGATAAAGGAGACCGGTGGGGCTGCAATGGGCCTAACTAGGGCAAAAGTGGGCGTTAAGTGAGGCAAACAAAGGGCTTGAGACCCAGCCTCAGAGAAGCCTTCCATGCTACCGAAGGCCTGGGACTGTGTCTAACATGCCAAGACACCAGTTGGAGACTTTAGAGCAGGGAGGTGAAGTGGCATGATCCCACTGACAATTGAAGGGTCACTCCATGCCTGGGTTCCCTGAGGTGGAGAATGATGGCAGGGAGCGGGAAGAAAAGCGTAGGTGCCTTGGAGTAGCATATGGACACAGCTAAGCCAAACCAATTGAGCAGTCACACACACCCTGGGGACAGACCTTCTATACTGGTATATCCTGACCGAAGTCTCTTTCTCTCTCTCCACCTGGTGCACCAGTTCCTCTGCATGGCGCTTCTCCTCTGCATGGCGCTTCTCCTCTGCCAGGCGCTTCTCCTCCTCTGCGT